TTTAGTTTTCAGATTTATTTTTCACACCTTATAATTAAATCTATTTTTAAAGTACTGAAAGTGTCAGCAATTCACTTGCTGTGCATCTTTCTATCAAAACAATGTAAAATTACAATATACTTTTCCATTCCCATTGACTGATGTCTAGAAACATAGAGCTGAATTCATCCCTGCTGTAACTAAAGTCACTGCAGTTACATCAAGGATAAATGTGGTTCAGATACAATAGTTAAGGCTCAAGTTGATTTGAAATGAAATATGAGACACACAGTTCCCAGGAACTTCAAGTTTGTCAGCAAATATATTAAATACATGATTTGATCTGAAGTATGGACAGTGATTTCTTGTTTAAACTTTCACTGTCATACATATTTTGCATTAGTTGAGAAAAAGATATATGCAAAAATGGCAGCGCAGAATGTGCCAATGAATAATAGTGAGTGGCACTCACACTACACCTTTATTTTTATCCTGTCTTTAAACTGGAACCGCCAGAATTATTGGTATGTGTATTATCCAGATTCATTGAATTAAATAACCCCATCCACTGCAAAATTCAAGGGGGGAGGAATGGAAAGGGATGGGTCGGGGGGTGAAAGGGAAGAGATAGAAAAGAAAGCAAATATTAAGATAAAAAAAGAAAGGCATCAACAACACTGTTGGGGCATGGCACCAAGAAACACAGGAAGAGTGAGTACCCTTCTGCCAGACCACCACAGTGTGAATGGCTCCAACAAAAACTGCAGGGCACAAATGGTATTTTTCGAGGTCTGTTGCTGAAAAGTGATGACCCTCAGTGACTCTGACTGCCATCACTGGGGGTCACAGGTTCTCAGCACTTCTTGGAACTAGGACCCTGGAAACACATTGAGCGGTTCTAAAGACACTAACGTTATCATCCTCATTTCCTTTTGCTAAGGCTTACACAACCATAACTTCGAGTCTGCCTTTTTCAAAAGGTGTTTGAACCATTTAATCAAGTATTTAGACTCATCCCTCTCCAAAGCATCACAAGGCCCATCCACAAGCCAAGAATGTAAAAGGAAAAGTGTTTAAGTGTTTGTGCGTGTAAAACAGGAAGTTTTAAACCATTTGGATGAACTTCTTTATACATAATAACTTGGGCCACAACCTTGGTTTCCTGGTTCAGTTCTCTATTTTTGACTAATCTACAATAATAAAGTGGAAATAAGGTAACTATGGGCTAAAATAAGGGATCGTTGAGAGTTACATTTTTTTTCCCTAAAAAAAAAAAAAAAAAAAAAAACACATACAAAAAAACAATGTACAGCTTTTGAGATGTCAGCAATTTTTAATTATAAAATACCTGCAATGGAACCAGCTAGATACGAAATATCAAGTGTATTTTGTGAGGATGGAAGGATTATCATCAAATGGTGATTCAAAAGGTAAAATATTGGAAGTAATTATCTATTTTCCCTGTGTACCGAATGTATTTCCCCATCCTGAAAGGTTTTGCACTGTAGCATTCCTTCCTCCACTGGCCTGATCCAAGTCCTATTGAAGCCAATTAAAATATTCCTCTTGACTTCAGTGGGAATTGGTTTGGGCCCTTGCTTGAAGCTGACTGGAACCCTTTTAAACCCACCAATGCCACTCCTAAATTGAACAGTGGGTTGACTAGAAAAAGACTCAGGTCATTAGAGAGCACCACATGTAGGACACTGATCTGAATTGGAGCAATGTAATTCAAGGCTGGTCCCCTGCTGCTCTCAGACTTGGGTGGTATTTATTTATTTTAAAAGATTAAAATAAGTGGGAAAACAGAAATTCAGACACCAAAATTTAACCTCAACCCCATGGTGTCAGAAATGGGGACATGAAAAATAATCAAAACATCTATTCAGTGATCAAATAATGATAATTAAATAGTCTAATTATAGCAAAACTGCAATAGACACATCATATGAATAAATCAATGCTGTGTACTCATTCAGACTACAGGAGAGTACAGAGATGGGTCTGAGTCATGAAGTTGAGGTCTGGATATGAACCTAATTTGAATTTGGGAAATGGGGAATAGCAGGGAGGGGGATGGGTTCCAGGATTCCATTGTTTATACAGTAAATAAAGCATTAAGGGCCGAATTGTAAAACCTCTCCCTCCCATTGATGACCAGGTACGCTCATAAATCATCCCATTGCCTACAATGGGAATAATTAGGTCACTAGCTGCTCACTGTTGCAAGCTGGGGGTTTACAATCTGGCCCAAGAATATAAAAGATGAAAGAAATATTACTATGGTAGTTTGTTTGCTTGAAGTCTAACTAATCTCCACAGTGCAAATCAGTTAGCTTAGATGGTTGTTCAGGTCTTCCACATCAAAATAAAGTGTAATCAAGACTTACAATGTGCCTCATGGGAGCGTGCAGGAGAGTGGCCATGTGATTGTAATGTGCACATAAGGCTTGATTCCACACGATGCTGAGCACTCCGGCCCCAGTCCACCAAAGCATTTAAGCACATGATTAACTTTCAACAGGTGAACAGCCCCACTGGTGCACTTAACTTTAAGTGCATGCTTATGTGTTTAGTTTCACCCAGACCAGAGTGCTCAGCACCTTACAAAATTGAGTCCATACTATGGCCAGACGATGTCTAGTCTTTATATGGATGAGCAAAGGAGCAAGAGGGAAGGACAGAGGTACTTCACCCTGCAATTTTGCATTCCCTGTGCAGGGGACAAGACACAGTGTAGGCTTTGTGCTCACCTGAGATTAGGAGCTGCTTCTTGCTAGTGCCCCTCAGGACTGTCATGGCTCTGCCCCTTTCTGCACTGGAGCTGGCTGGCCATTAACAGAAGAGTATGGTGAACCCCTCAGTAGGGGAGTGTGGCATGCTTAATCCTCTGCTGGCTGCGTTCCCCTGGATCTCTCTCTGGGAGGAAGTGACTGTGCACTAGCCCCAATACGTGCCTTTTATGATATAGGCCTGGTCTGGCATATTACCCACAGAAGAAAACATTGAAAATAACAGTTCCAATTGCTTCTAAAAAACTGGATGCCACAGGTGGATTAAATGCTGGATTCCAATCTGAGAATCATAGGCACATGTCAGTGCATGTCCAGGGAATGGCATTGCCCCAACATCCCCACTGATGTCAACTGGACATTGGTATGTAGACAGTGGTATCTGGATGAGGACAGGATGCTCTCTCACTGTGAATATATGTATAAGCACAAAGTTTAGATATGCACAAATCCATGCCTGTGTATCTCAAATTAGAATCAAGCCCTAAGGAATCTGCCCTTCTATATATGTAGACTCCTTAGGGCTGAAGAATGTACTTTAATAACTCCTGCCAATCCATATTAGAGGTCAAAATGGTAACCAACCCACAGTACCCCTGAGTAAGCAGACACCTACCCATTCCCATTAAAATGGAAGAATTATGACATTTCTCGCACTTTTAGCTTGCATATTCCAGCTCCAGAGTTTCATGGATTTGAGATATTTTATAGTTTTCTTTTTTAACTCAATTGGATTTAATAGAGTCTATAAGTTCTTGAACCGATATTTATCACTGAGTAATATTTATGTTTTTATTTCTACCTGCAATAACAAATCCCCCAGATTTTATTACATTATATGGGAATTCTAATTTGTTCTTGTCTCGTGAACCACTGATTGATACTTTAGATTTGCATTTTGCCAGCATGGCTTCCCCATCCACCCTCTAGCAGCAAAAGAGATGCATATTTTGTGCTCTCAAAATAAGAACAAACCTGACACCTTTTGAAGGTTTGTTGTGGTGGAGATTTTTTGTTTATTTGTTTAAGGGTATTTAGACTTAGGCTTTATGAAGTGAATTTTAACATCCGAACAACAACAAAAAATCCAAACAAAACCCAATATAAATGGTGTGGGAAACATTCAGTGTGTTATCTTTATGTGAATATAAATACTGACACACTGTGAGCTTTGCTGATATTTTTTACTGGGCCATTACAGTAGGTGACAAAGCAGAAGACACATAAATGTAACAGGGATGGGGAAGAAATTCATAAAGCTTTGTATACAGAGATTTTCTCCCACCCTATTTAGTTATAGTGACACAATGCAATTTATAGTTACTGTTAATAGATAAGGCTACTTTAACCAAAAACTATTTGTTAGATGCAAAGAAGAGACTGAAAAGCGAACAAAGGAATCAGTAGTTAAACTTGCTGTTGTATATATATATAATATGAATCTAAGGCAATGGATTTAGTCACTTTTTCATTTAAATATTTTATTAGCCTTTACAATATCATTATTAAAGAACACAAATATCTAAACTAATATGGCTTCTCTTAAGCCATTAGAGATGTATAATGATTATATTGGCATATCTGGGATTCTAGTGTATAAAGCTTTCCAGGGTAGAGACTGTACTTTAACATTTGTCTGTATCGATCCTGATTGGGGCCTCTTGGTGTTAACACAAAATAAATAATAGTTGTGACAGGACAAGATACAGGTCCTCCCCAACCTCCCCCCTCCCAAGGGCATGATAGGTAAATTGACATCTTGAATTGACATTATTCTGGCCAAAAGATCAACATAATTCTGCAGTAGAGTTACACCACATATCATGTAAGTTCATGTTGTAATAGGCCAGCAATTGACAGACTTTAAATCTAGCCTCATTGTTCTTTACTATTGTCAGTGGTTTCTGACTGCAAAGTGAGGTGAGGTGTCTTTTGAGCAGCTCTCTTCGCACTAAAAAGCTAATGGAATAGATCACTATGGGGGAAAAATGAACAGCCTTTCAGTTGTTATCATATACACTGGGGACTTTATTTCAGTATTCAGCCTGTGCCAATTCAAATGAGAGACTAACAATGAAGCCACACAAACTGAATTCTTGTATCATCCAAAAGCAAAATGGAAAGTGTATGCCTCTGTCTGATTTGTTTAAATGCATGGAATAAGAGGAACAAAAGTAGATGAAAGAGTTAACACTAGGACAAAACTAGCTCATCTCTTGGCTATCTTACCTCATTTACAAAGACCCAGTGACTATCCTTGGAAGCAAGGTTGGTTTCCACAGCCTACAGAAAAAAATAAATACACACATAAATAAAACTAAATAAAATGAAGATTTCCAGAGTTAATTTATAATTTCTGATAAAAGGACATTATTACAATGTTCATTTTAAGACCTGTTTTCTTTGTGCAGTTCCCTTTATTCATACTGCTGCTACTTTGCTGAAAGTCATCTAATCTCTTCTGCTCATGTTTTATTTTGATTTGAGTATCTGCAGCAGTATAACCTACATTTGCAGAGTTGCAGCAGAGCAGTGCATCACCACCATATGGAAATCTATGTGCAGAAGCAAACTTAGCGTTGTTTGGTCCATGGATGCAGGCAAGTGTATGGTATATGTCCCATGGTCTGTCATTTTTAAACTTCCTAGGATGATATTTCTTAAGGCTGCTGGTAGGATGTTGTCAATATTCAACAGGCCTCTCATTAACATACACAGATAGATCTTGTCCAACTGCAACCCCTGGGTTAGTGAACATATTGGGTGAAACTCATACCTGTGCAGAAAGCCAGCATAAGGCATGTGTACCACTTAAGTCTCCCCTTATGTTTTTCACAGGCCTTGTGCTGGCCCGCTACAGAGGACTGAATTTTACGTTAGGCATAAGGGTCAATTTATTAGCATATTTATAACCTTCAATGGAGACAGACTGCTACAGTTAATAAGCTCACTAATGCAATAGCAGGCAGTGCCTAAATGTTCTGAGGAACTGAATGGAAAGAGCCTGACCAGTGTATGCACGCAGTTAAGTTTCTAGCTATCCCCTGCTTCACTCCTCTGGCAGGCAGAGTTGTTGCCATTCCAGAGATAATGAGGTCCCTTACAGCTGCAGTTGATAGTGCCCTCAACCAGGTGTCAGGAGATCTGCAATCTGTTGCCACAAATCTGGGGTTTGTATAGTCATGTTAGCTAACATATGCTGCTTAACACATTTGTAAACACAGCATAGTCGGACATATCAGTGTTTATAAATGTACTCCCTGATTGTGGTCAAATCTAGTTAAATCATTAACACCAATTGTAAACTACATAGCTAGTTAGTAGCTAATGCTGTCTGTAAGCTACTTTAGTTACAAACTAGTTTTGACCACAATCAGACAGTAACTTTATAAACATCACTGTATTTGTGTACACACGATGTTTTAAAATGCCATAAATAAATAGCACATGAGCTGATCTATTTAAAACCACCACTCATCTTCCCAGCCTAGACAAGTCTGGTGTGTAATGGTTGGAAAATCACTTCCTCACTCTATGCCTTCGTGGTCTCATCTGTAAAACAGGGATAATTCCTACTCACCTTTGTAAAGCTTTTGAGAGCCACCGAATGAAAATAGGATGAAGTAAGGACAAATTATTTATCATCATCAATAAAATACCAATGTGGTAGTTTTAACCAAGACAGGTCTCAAAGTAGATGAGAAGGTACTAGGGGTACACATCCCTATAGACAATCCTCTCTTAAAAACTGGTTTTAAGCTAATTTCCTTAACTGCCTGTGAAGGACTTCAGAATTTGGGCCAAGACTTTTAAACTTAACTTCTATGTCCATATTTAGGCCCTTAATGTGCTGAGCAGCCAATACCTCCTACTGAAGTAAATGCAAGTTGCTGGATGCCCCACACTTTAACTGAGTAAATGTGGATTTAGAAGCGAACTTTAGACACTTAGGTTTTAAAATCTTCACCTTGGAGGCAGAGCTCCTATGGCAGAGAGTACTCTTCTGTACCCAGGCATCAGGGCCGGCTGACCCCTGAACCCTGACCCCTGAACCCTCCCCCAGGTCTGGGGTCCCGGCTGCCGGCCCCTTGCCAGCCGGCATCCCGGCCGCAGGCCCCACTCGGCCCGCTGCCGGCCTAGGTGAACAGGACCCCAGGCTGGCAGCGGGCTGAGCAGGCTGGCGGCATAAGATCAGCATTTTAATTTAATTTTAAATGAAGCTTCTTAATCATTTTGAAAACCTTGTTTACTTTACATACAACAATAGTTTAGCTATATAATATAGACTTATAGAGAAAGAGACCTTCTAAAAAACATTAAAATGTATTACCAGCACACGAAACCTTAAATTAAAGTGAATAAATGAAGACTCGGCACACCACTTCTGAAAGGTTGCCTACCTCTGAGCTTCCACTTCCATTTAGCAATATCTGAAGGGCACAAAAACCCTGACACCTTTTTCTGACTCCCTCACAAATTATGATCACCAAGGTTTAGACCTATTGCTGAGACTGTCTGGAGATTCATGCAGGCAGTTCTACATTGGTTTATGATCAGTTCACATTTTAAAAATTAGTTCTGTAACCATGAGGGACAGAATTTTATTTTATTATTTATTTATTTACTTTCTTACTTACTTAATAAGAGGGTAAGAAATGACTGGAAAGGGAAGGTTGTCAGGACTTCCTCCCGCCCCCAAATCTGTTTGCAAATCCCTGTGGGAGTTTCAATCCTAGATCAAGATCCTCAGACTTCTGCCAACAATTCACTTCACATTTGCCACCAAGCAGCTGTGAGAAGGCAACAGTTTTCAGCCACCGTTGACCTGGGAAGCATTCCAGCCAGTGGCTGAGAGGTGAAAGGTTCTGTATCCCAGTAACTATCCCCTGGGTCTTCAGTTCCCTTAACACCATATGCCTAGCCATGATTTATTTAAGTGCATTTTGGGGTTGTTGTTTTTTAAAGCAAAACTTTAAGGAACATTTTTAACCTTTTACACTGAGAAAACAGGACACACACTTTCACCAGGAATTTAATACAGTTTAATAAACCTCAGCCAGACCTACCTCAGACTGTTTCAGCTCATTAGTAAGAGATAGATTTTTATATTTAAAAAAATCAACAGCTTTGTTCTGGATCTACATGGACAGGAAAACATAATGGGACTTGTAGCAACAGTCCAATTTCCAAAGAGAGATGTAAGTCCATGTTTGGAGTATGTGACAGCAATTAATTGGATGGTATCAAAGTGCACCCGTGTATCTGAGAAATCTTGTATATGTCTTGGATACAAATGAGTAGAGATAGCAGATATGGGGAAGTGAACTCTGGTGGGACAGATGGTTTCAGATCTTATTCCCATGATATTTAATATATATTTAGAAACTCCTTCAATTAAAATATATGCAGCTCAAGTCCAAGAGTAACTTGCATACATACAAAGAATCCCACTCCCCTCCCCCCCAACGCACACTTTATTGTAATTCTTTTAATTCATTAAACCTTTTTTACTTTTGCATTTAAATAAATAGCTTTTAGTTCAGTATTCCCTGTAGGGCACATCTCCTATGGTGATTAACAGATTAAAAGAAAAAGAAAATGAAGCTTTCCTAGTTTCAATGAAGAAAATGTTTCTAGTAATTAAAGGGAAAATGTCAACCTATTCTGGCCTTCGTTATAATGGTTATAACCTAGTGATAAATAGTCCATATAGCCATATAGCCTCCAAAGCATTAAATGGTGACAACCCTTACTACGCATTCCCTGTCCTATATGTTTACGCACACACACGCACGCACACACACCCTTTTAACTTGATCCAAAGACAGTGATTCCCATTAGTGAATACACATTTTCCAGCAGTTACTGCAGTATTTCTCGTATTTCCCAACACTCTCAACAGAAATTAATTGTGGAACCTCAAACTCTTGGTGCATGTTAACTTTTGAACAGTGACCACTGGAGTAACAAACGAGATTTTTTTTTAAAAAATCTAAATTTCTCCATCATTTGGAGTGTACGTTTTTGGTTGTTTCCCCCCACCTCCAACTCTTCGTTAAAGTCTTACTCTGAATTCTAAATATGTTTTTTCTAAAATACATCACTTCTTTATGACATTTTTAGAAAAGCCATCCCACTGTATGTGTGATATCAAAACATGATGCATGTGCTCCCGCTGCTATTCTTCAAGTTAACTGTACTACTAACACAAGCTATTTTCCAAATAGGGTACCTCCCTACAGGTATCAGTAATAAAAATGTTGCACAGGTAATTTTCAAAATAGTCCTCTGTCCCTGGACTAATTCCAGACAGTTTGCGCTGCTTCACGAGCGCAAAAAAGGCCTAAATCTGCAGCTCTCTGGAGGATTTCCTCTGTGTAAGGGATGTCCATGACGGCTCCTATGCAATCCTCCCTTCTTGCTAACATAGGGGACCTGGCTGGAGCTTCCACACACTGATATCATAGCTCCTTGATGATATTATCAGCTAGTATCAGTTAAAGCAGGGGTTCTTAACTCCCAATGCTATAAAAACTCCATGGCCCAACTGGGCCACAACAGCTGTTTTTCTGCATATATAAGCCAGGGCCAGTGTTAGGTGGTAGCAAGCAGGGCAATTGCCTGGGGCCCCATGCCACAGGGAGCCCTGCAAAGCTAAGTTGCTCAGGCTTCGGCTTCAGCCCTGGGTGGCGGGACTTGGGGCCCCAGGCTTCAGCCCCAGGCGGTGGGGCTTTGGCTTTCTGCCCTGGGTCCCAGCAAGTCTAATGATGGCCCTGCTTGGCGAACCCCCTGATACTTGCTCATGGCCCCCTAGGGGGCCCGGATCCCTGGTTGAGAACCACTGTATTAAAGCAGCCTTCAGGCTGCTCTAACTTGTGCCAGGATTTCTCTAAGTTTGGAAGAATGCAAAGGGCTCTTTTGCATACTGAAGATTTGGATTTCCATGGATTTCTAAGTTAGCATCTGCTCTACTAAACAGGAGAGAAAAATGCTTCACAAAAAAAGTAAAAAAAAATGTGGTAATAAGGCAAAATGAGTTTATTTTCTAGTTTGCTATGCCTAATTAGGAGCAACAGAAAAAAATATTGCCGAAACACTGTGTTGATTTATAATTTGTACAGTTCCACTGCTTTTAATTCTAATCATCATTATAATGTCTATTGCATGCTAAATAGGAGTATGCATTATATTTTTAATATATCAGGAGGATGAACTGATAACTCAGATTAATAAATAGTAGTAATATTCCTTTATTGCTTTTACCGCACTAATTCCCAGATGCC